TTACCAGGATGAACTCCTTTACTCTGGAAAAGTAAACTCAAAGCCATGAGACACAGCTAGGGTATATGCATCATGTTAAAGGCACAGAGTGAAATCCTTGTCCTGTTTAGGTCAAAGGGAGTGTTGCTACAGACTTCACCCAAGCCATCTACATCGGGCAAATGAAATTTTTTTTTCAAAGATGTAATTACCTAACTGCTTGAGCAACTGAGCTGTTTTTAAATAAGAAATTCTCATTTTTAATTAGTGTTTTTTCTCCTGTGCTGTGTAGATTTAATTGAGTAGCGTTTCCTACTTAGAAACATAGAGAGGAAAGAAGGTTTACCATGCTGTTTGTAGATGGGTGGTTTTCTGTAAATGTTGACCCCTTGATCTGTGGAATTAAAAAAAAAAGGGTGTGAATATACAAGGATCAGTTCAGCTATGAAAAAAAAAAGAAAAATCATGACATTAAACCACTAGATAAATCAAACTAAGGACTTAGCACAAGAAGAAGCCAGAAAGCTAACTCTAGCATTACACAGAGCTGGGCTACTCACAGAACAGAAAATACACAAACAGGTGAAAAGTCACAGACATGGGGTATGAAATTCATTGGCATTTATTCTGCAACATGTTGATGAACCAAACTCATGACCCACTCATTTGAATATTTAGAAGTTGATTAGTGGGATAAGGGTTAGAGAGGAAATGGAAGCAACAAAGATATATCAATAGTCAAAGATATATCAGTAGTGAGACGTAAGTAATTTGGGGGAAAACAACCTCAAATGACTTTCATAAGAAATTGAGCTTCAGCCGTAAGAGCTCAATTTCCCTTCCAACCTAGGGGTTGGACTGAGTATGGAACAATGCAGTGAAGGTACAATTTCTATTAAAATCCATTGGACATGCATATTTTAAAAGTCAACTACAAGACTGCACTGGGCCACAGGAATACTCTAAGAAATGCTACCTAGTATGGTCCTAATATCAAACCCCACAAGGACAGATTAGAAATGTATTGTTTTGCAAGAGATACCACATAGCACACACCCTTATGCATTAGACTTTAGTGGCAAATCCCAGAGCTCTTATACAGGATTTCTACAGTACGTTTTGAAGAATTTAAAGGTTTTACTAAATACTAGGTCTGAAACAAGAAAAGGGGCTGAAGGAATACCTTCTACTTTCTTCCCAAATAAGGAGCCCCAAATTAATGAAAAACCAAGGATCAGAATCCTGTTATAAGCCTGAGTTGTCTTAGGTGCTGGGAATTTGCATTGCAAACTAACCAGTTCACTACTGTATTATATAGTTTCTGGTCAACTGTCACAGATATATTTTGAAAGTACACAGTGCATATAATGTGTCCTATTGACATGCTAATGGGGACAACTTTATCTGTGGTGCGAGGGAAAGCAAGCCCTAGAAATCTATGAAAATGAGGGTAAGAATAATTCCTACGTGACTACGCTCTCCACCTCTCGCTAAATAGGCAAATTCAGAGCTCAAAGAGACATTGAGGCATTTCATTTCTGCTACTGGCCCATTGCCTCTACTTGAATAGCAAATGACTGTAAACACTGCTAGGACAGCTAAGTCATGCCATATCATTGTGCCATATCTTCACACCTGCCTAATCTGGAACACTATGCCTAGGGACACATACTTCCATGTCATCAACATAGAAAATGGAAACAGAAGACCTTTTCAGAGACTGTAAAGTGGCCCATATTTCTTACAACAAAGAATTTCCCTTGCAAAAAGGGCACACTGACTTATATGCATCTTTGCAGCTCTGGGAAAGACATGCTATTATGCAAATGAAATTTCCCCATTCAGTTAAAAAAACCCTACAACCTAAATTAAAATGGTTTTGCTCTCAATCAAAACAACCAAGGAGGTGTCAGATGTGACAATAGAGTGTAAAGTTTGAATTAACTGTTACTAGAGCGCATCATAAATGCTCAGGGCTTGATTCTCCTGTTCCTTCCACCAGTGTAAATCAGGAGTCACTCCTCTGAACTGGGCGGCATTACTTGGGTAACAAGCTGATGAAAACAAGAGAAGAATCAGGCCCCAACATCCATCATACTCTCCGCTAACTGAACTGAACCATACGGCATCCTCATGCTGAGAGACTTGACTAACCGGGCAAGAAAGGGACCCTCCATCGCTCTGTACAATGCTCCTCTCAGCAAAGCTCAGAGGCAGGCAACTGAAATCAGACTGCGTGCAAACCTCAGATAAAAACAGCGTGACATAATGGAGACAAGACAGAGGTTACAAAGGCTACATTCTACACTGCGACAGGACACCAAGACACACACAGTGCCAGCTCCTACCTGGAACATGGAAATGTTTAGGGGCCTGAGCGTAAGTTGGAGTTAGAGGGCGGCTGTCTGGCCGATAAGGGACAGGGGAGTTCCGACCGCTGGACGGCTCATTGCCTCCAATGAGAAGAGTGGAGAAAACAAAATGAGAAAAAGGGAGAGCGGTCACAAAGCAAAGCATAATCCAAACTCAACCTAAAGACGGTGAACTCAAAAACTCCAGGGAGTGAGAGACATTTCAACCAAAAAGAAAAACCCAAACAATAATCAGCCGTGGCTAGCATGGGGCGACGTTTGCCTTTCAATGTTCCTGCAGAGACAAAGGTTCCCGTTTGGGCTGGCATCGGAGTTCAAAGCAGCGCACGTTCATTCTGGTGGCATGCAGGCAGGAGCGGTGCACTGGCAGGCCAGCGGTTAGATGGGCAGGGTGGGGGAGAGAAATGGCTGGTTACTTGGCGATAGTTTAGTATCGAGGCTGGCATTTTTGGTTAGTCACAGGCATGTGGGAGAGCAGTTGATGTGCAAACCCATTTCTAAGTGGGTAGAGGCAGATGTGTAGTTCCTTACATCAAAGGATCACAGATGTTAAGAGAACGGAAAGCGCTGTTAGGCCACCCACCCCACCTGAAGGCAAATTTGTTCCCTACAAATAATCTGCTACAAATTACCTTCTTCCCTACATAATCTTTAGCCATCTTGGATTTCACTGTCTCAACATTTTATAGATTTATTTCATAGACATTTGGGCTGGAAGGCACCTTGGAAGATCATCGAGTCCAGCCCCCTGCCCAAAGGGCAGGAAGTCAGCTGGGGTCATAGGATCCCAGCAAGATAAGCATCCAAATTTCTCTTGAAGGTGTTCAATGTAGGTGCTTGAACCACCTCCGATGGCAGGCTGTTCCAGACCTTGGGGGCTTGGACAGTAAGGAAATTCTTCCTTATGTCCAGCCTGAAACAGTCCTGCAGTAGTTTATGAGCATTCGACCTCGTCATCCCTCGGGGCGCCCTGGTGAACAACGTTCCCGCAGATCCTGGTGGTCACCCCTGATAAATTTATAGGTGGCCATCAGATCACCCTTGAGCCTGCGCTTTTCCAGGCTAAAGAGCCCCATGGCTCTCAGCCTGTCGTCGTAATGTCTGTTTTCCTGACCTCTAGATCTAGTTTACAGATTTTCTGATCGGTATCTTAACCCTCCTCACAGATCCACCACCGAGAGCCCTGAGGCTCTTTCAGCATGGACAGCTCCGAAAGCAGCCAGAAGGAAACTGCAGAGTGGTATAAAGTACTTCTCAGCACAGCCCAGGCCTCGAAATTTGAGTGAGATTTCCACGCGATTCGAGTGAGATTTTCCATGTGGCTGCACAGATGCTAACCAAGAGTAAGAAAACCTTGGCCAAAATTGTGCACTGTGTGGCATCCTGTGCTATCATTTGCACCTGTGCAAAACAGTCAAGCAGCAGTATCCCACCAAAAGCGTATGGCTACCAACTCCCTTTGCACAGATGTGAGTGATTGCAGTGGTGAAAAGGGCCAGGGCATCAGGGTCCTTCCGTTTTTTAAAAAATGTGTCAAATACTCCCAGGAGCTGAATGACAAGGGAAAGGGAGAAGCAGAAACAACAGGAACTGAACTTTAAAACCTGACAAACAGGGGCAGGGCAGTCCCAAAAGAGGGCCACATTTTCCAGGTCAGCAATTTTATGTGAACTTAGTCCTGTAAATCCAAAGCAATGAGAGCAACAGTCTTAGCAAGACACATTCTGATGTATAGAAATAAAGACGTATATTATTCCTACTCCTTTCTCACTAGAAAGGCAGCCCGCAGGCCTAAAATATGGCAGCAGGACAAACCCAAACAGCCCTATATAACCTTCCATGAGGCAAATGTCAGTGCCAAAAAGGTAGCCACTTGTGTGCACGGATGACGTGCCCCAGCACAGGCAAAATGGCAGATATGGCCAGTGACCTGACAGCATTTCCCAGCAGCTCCTGCCGTGCCACTCCTGGCCAGTCCCCATTGAGACCCCAAGAGTGCGGGGCTGTGATAGTGTGGGGCTAGGTGTGGCAGGTCCATGCCATGGGGTGGCCGTGATGCCCCCTGGTAGGCCCGTGGCTCTTGCCTAGCTCAGTCCTAAGGTAAACCTCCATTAATCACTCACCTCCACACCTTGCTCTTATTAAAAGGTTAAATAAAGGAGGCTGCCCAGGGCCTTAGAGTGAGCCTGCATCAGTACAGATTGCCACTGGGTCCCTCTTGGACCCCCACTCACCTAATAGATCCTCTCTACCTGCCTGCATCTCTGCAGGGCACCTGGATCCTTAAGGGCTAACTGCGTTGCTCCATTCTGTCCCATACCCCAAGCCTTGCAGCAACTACTGTTCCTTCTGGTTACCCTTTTCCAGGATCCTCGATACTTTCTGCTCCACCCTCTAGGCTCTCAGACACATAGTCACCTGTGCAGCCTGCCTCTGGGCTCTGAGACCCCCAGATCACACATGCAGCACTTCTTGGGCTATTGGACTCTTTGTTCTCGTGCTCAGTCCCCTCCCAAGGCCTGCAGAAACCCTGGTCCCACACGCAGCCCCTTCTCTATGGGCTCGGGGCCCCTCTAGTCTGCCTCCTCTTTCTCTGAACTCTTGAACTTTCTCGTCTGGCTTGCAGCCCCTCTTGGACTCCTGGGCCCTCTGCTGCGACCCTTCACTGAGCTTGTGGACCCGCTGGTCCAAGTCTTAGCCCACTCCTGCTGTGCCCCACTCTGTGTTGGGCCTGAGTCTCAGCCCCTCCTGGGCTACTGGTTTTCAGGGTAGGCCTGAATTCATCCCTAGCAGGACTCCAGGATAAACTACTGGTGCACTAAATAGAAGTATCTCAGTGTTCTGGCAAACACTCCAACTCCCTCTAAGTTGGGTAAGAACATAAAGGCCCCCTGACTGTACAAATTCAGTGTTTTGCTGTCCAGGTAAGCTTTTCCTGCTCCCAGGATTGCAGAGCGGCTTACCCTGTTCACTGCAACTTCAGGAGCCTGCTGCTCTGCTGCTAGAAACTCCTTGCTGCATGGCTCCCAGGGCTGACTGCCTGGTCAGTTGAGGCTTTGGGCTTATATAGCTCCAGCCTGGCACCAATGCTCAGGTGACCCTCCAATCATCCCCCTCTGTTACCTGACCCTCTGGCTGCTTGCACACTTAACAGGGCAAGCACACCCCAGTACCCTGGCAAATCATGACAGCATGGGGCTGTAGAACCAGGGCTCTGCCCCAGCCTGGCCTGGCCCTG